CGGTGGCAGCTGCAGGGACTGCAGGCAGAGCAAGCGAGTTAGGCAGGACAGGCTGGACCAGCGGTGCCGCAGGCAGGTCCGGAGCAGGCAGGTCCGGAACAGGCAGATCTGGAACAGGCAGATCCAGAGCTGGTAAGCCTCGGACTGCCCCTTTAAGGGCTTTGGAGACCTGCGGAATAGTGTCTCTCACCGGGCTAATCAGCTTACCGGCGATGTGCTCCGGCCGGTAAGGATATGCCTCCAGGAGAGGCGACTTCTCTAGGTGGATGATCGCCAGGCGGGCAGCGGCGGTGTCGTCCCAGGCGGGGAGGAGAGAGCAGGCTCCCAGGAAGAGCGATGGAGCTTCTTCCTGCTGCTCTCGATCTCTCCCCTGCTTTCCTTCCTGATCACTTGCGGCGGAAGGTGGGGCCGGCTCCGATGCCTCTTCCACGCTCCGAGCGACGCGCTCCTCCCGTCGCTCGGTGAGCCGGCGCTGCAGGCGACGGAGGCATTTCCGGGCTTTTGTCAGTGGGTATTCCTGCCCGGCTGGGCGGTCCTTGCCAAGGAGGTCCGTGCCCCGGTTAGCCAACTCCAGGGCTACGGGGTCCTCCTCGACTTCTGGCTGGGAACGCCAGTACACAAATTCCTGCAGCAGACCGAGCCGGTCGTGCTCGGTCTGCCACTTTGTGCTTTCGCCGAGATCCGTCATTCTGTCACGATCCAGGGCGGAAGCAGGCGAAGGGAATCCAAGATTTGGGGAACACCGGGTTTAATAGTACACAAGGCAGGCAACAAAACAGAATGACAATACAATGACGGATCTGGGGAAGATCTGAGACTCGGATTAAATACAAAAGACTAGGTAAACGGAACAGGCAACAGGTGAGAACAATCAGGGATGAACACGAGGTAACGAGGTGGGCATGGCACACATTAGGAGCGGACGGAGCGGGGCGTGACAGCATGATTATTGGAAAAAAATCACATCACAATGTTTGATATTTTTGCAATAAATGTTGCAATATTTATTAAACAAAAAAGCTGAAAATAAGCTATAGGCTTTTGTCATAACACTCCAAGTCTGTTGTATTTACATAAATTAAGTATATACACTCACCTAAAGGATTATTAGGAACACCATACTAATACAGTGTTTGACCCCCTTTTGCCTTCAGAACTGCCTTAATTCTACGCGGCATTGATTAAACAATCTCCTGAAAGCATTCTTTAGAAATGT